CCTCCCATCCCCTTAAAAAGGAATTAAACAAGCTGTCTGTGGCCATCTCCTGGCAAGAGCTTTTGCTGTGGGCGCCCCACACCTCCTGACGCTTTTGGCACACTTGTTTCTAACACTCCCCCACCCCATGTTTCCCCAGTTAAGCTCCAGATGGCATATGTGGGGGGAAAGACCCATTTTCTCTTTGCAACTGCCTTTCAAAGCCAGTCTGGTTGCGCAACGGGGACTGGGGGAGGGGGCTGCTCAAGGATTGGGGCCTCCATCTCTCAGGTGCGCTGCTCCCTTCCCTTGGGAGATCTCCAAGCAATAAGGGAGAGCAGGACCTGACCCAAAGGGGAGTTTCACAGCTTTGCTTGCTTCCTGAACCCTCCACCTGCTGGCTGCCACAACTGCTGCCCTACGAGCAAAGAACCGAAAGCTGGAGCCCCCAGAAAACCACCTTCCAAGGCCCAGCAGGAGATGAGGTGACCCTTTCCCTTAGCACTGGGGGTAGGGGGGGGGTCTTCCCCCCCCCCCGACAATCTCACAGTACTCTGAAGTAGGGAAGCTAGACTAGGGCACTCCCCTTGCATCCAAAGCAAGACACCCCCATCTCTTCCACAACATCACTTCTCAGGGTGCCTGATGTGGGGCACTGGCCATTATTTTTCTCAATGTGCTAGGGACCGGCACCCTACCTGTGGCCATTGGCTTCCCATGGTTTCTTTCTTTCCTAGAAACTCACCAGGGATCAGCCACCAATGGCTATGGGACCAGTGCTGGTCCAGGGACCACCAATGAGTAGGGGAGAGACCCCTGGCAGACACCAATAGCAGATGGCTACTAAGCCAGGCCAAACTGTGCCTGGCCCTGACGCTGGGTGGCTAGTCTCTGGCCAGATGGGCACGAGTTAAGGGCCCACATCTGGGCTAAGGACTTAGTTCAGCTTTCCTCCATCCGGACGTGTTTAAGGCACACGGCTCAAAGATTTTGCTGTGCTGGAAGCGGGGCAGACAAACACTTATGAACCAAGAGTAGAGAGCCTAACATTTGGTCTTAAACTCAGCCCCTGAGGAGGGTCCACCACCACTGTCCACTCCCAGCTGAGTGGGGCCTTTGCAACTCCAGGCCACACCAACTATCCACACCTCACAGCCAGTTTTGTTGAAAAGCTATGCAGACAGAAATGGGACATTTTTTTGCTTGCTTCAAAAACATTCACCTCAAAATTCTCCTACAACTCTTTGATAACACTGAGTTATGTAACTGAGCAAGTAAATTAATGAAAACTTGTATTTCAGGGGAAAGAAAACTTGAGAGCATTTTGAAAAAACAGAAACATTGGATTACCATTGGGCGGGGTATAAATAAATTTGTTGTTGTTGTTGTTGTTATTATGGAGTGGCCAGATATACACAAGAAGGAACACATTTGCTATATAAAAATTTACGCTGCACATCAAAGAGCTGTGTCTGTTCATAGGACATTTATTCCACTTAAGTGAAACAAGTCCCTTGCACAGTTCCTAACACCACTTAGGCATGAAATGTTGGGAAGCCTGTGCTTCTACATTTCAAAAACAGGCTCGTCATTATCACCTGAACAAACTGTGATTAACTCCAACTATGGTTTGATAGAAACAAGCTGACTTCACACCATGGGTTGTTTCAAACAGTTAAACTACCATTAATTGGAACTGAAAGCTTCTAGTATGTTGGCAGCTGCACCTGAAGAGGAGGCACTAATCCAAGGGGAGGCCAGGTTTGTTTCTGGTATGATGATAAAACTGTGGTTTAACACTACACCGAAACACAGCCACCATAGCTGCTGGTTAGACATCTCCTTCTCCATAAATGTTGGTTGTCACTGTTAATTGCCATCACGTCCACTTCGACTGGAGGTCATTCTCTGAACGAGAGACCACCAAGTCGCCCTGTCCTCAACAGCCCTGCTCAGGTCTTTCAGGCTCAGGTGTACAGATGGAGCTTCCTTGTTGGAGTCCATCCATCTGGAATGCTACCTCCCTTTCTTCCTGTGCCTCCCACTTTGCCAAGCAGGACTGCATTTTAGGGAGACCTGTCTTTTCATGATACAGTCTCAGTCTAGTCATTTTAGCTTCTAGGAAGAGTCCAGGCTTCCTTTGCCCTTGGACCCATTTGTTTGCCTTTTTGGCAGTCCATGGTGTGCAGAACTCTCCTCCAGCACCACGTTTCAAATGAGCCATAAATATTACCCCACTTAAACTTTCAACTCTCACTACATCAGATGGCTATGCCTTGAACTATCTCCTCCTCCTCCTCCTCCTCCTCCTCTTGGTCCTGAGTTCCCCAGGCCTACCTTGCACCCCAAATTCTAACTGTGTGAGATCCAGTTCCTTCCCTCTATCTACTCCCATTGCCCAGTCCAGATTTCTAACTCCCCATCTCCCCCCTCTCTCACATATGCCCACACCCCTTATTCTTTCCCCTAAATGACACTGACTCTCCTGATGTGGAAGGAAGGAAGGAAGGAAGGGGTGCCAGCCCTTGAGGATCCCTCTCACTGCTCTTTCCCATCAAGGGCAGCTCTGGGATGGGGAGAAACCAGAGCGAAGCCTGAAGGTGGCTTCACCAGAGAGACACTCCCAAGGGGAGGAGGAGGAGGAGGATCTGTTCTCCCCACTGACTGGATCCCTCCCTCCACCCCACTTTTCCTTTAACTGTAGGGATAGGAAAAAAGGCCGTCAGAGGCCAAGAGAAACTTACGTAAGCCGGTGCCTCTGAAGCTTCTGTGTTCACGACAACCGGAGGGGGATTTGCCTTTAAATTCAAAACAAAAGGGTCCATGTTAGAACAAGTGTCAGAAAAAGAGTGCCTACTGTTAGTCTGGTAAATGCTGCTCACTGCAAAGGGGATTGATGGGAAGAGGCCTTTTATGCCGGCTGCTCAGGTGCGGAAGGTGGCTTCCTCCCATGCCATTCTTATTCCTTCCCCTAAAAAAATCATTCCCTATGATCTGTTAAAAGGCTCGCCACTCTGAAGGACCTGCAGGCCAGGCAAGCCAAGCAGATTTTGCTCTTCGAAAACCTGCAAGCAGCCCTCAATGTGTGGGTCGGTGGACAAATGGAGGAAGCCCTGGACAGTTGAGGAATGCAAGTCCACATGGCATCAATCCGGAGGCAGCTGCCCACTCCAGAGCCAGAGTGTGGAGGCATGCTCTGAGGACTGGACGGGACAGTCTGGCTCCTCCTGGGACCTTCTGTGAGACCAGAAGTCTTGAGTAAGTCAGACTCCCCCTGACCAGCACGAGGCTGCCAGAGGGCCTTGCCTGCAGTGGGCAACAGCAAGACCACCTGGAAAGAAGAGCCCAGCCCAGAGAGCAATGAGGTCGGAGCCTTGAGGCCAGGGGCCACGCTCATGAAGCACCTGCCCTGCTAGGGGTGTCACACCTGCACAGCTCTGGAGGCATGTTCCTTGCGAGGCAGGACCCTACAAATTCCAGCAGTGGAGCAAGGCATGGGCAAATGAGGGCACGAAGCCCTTGCAATCGAGTTGCAAAGCAAAGCCATTCCAAAGGCAACCAGCCCCCCATGTCTTAGATATAATATTTTATATCTTAAGCAAAAAAGCTTAAGACAGCATCACAAAACGCTCACATGTCTATGGAAGAGGAAAAACCAAGAACAGACAAGGTACACAGAATTATGAATTAAATGAATTGGGAACCACATCAAGTTCTCTACAAGAAAGCCACTGAAAACATGCATGTTGTTGGCACCAACTGAGAAATCTGCCTTTTTCTTTCCTTCATCTGACCCCTATGTCATCCTTCGCCTGGCATCAGGCCCTTTGCTTGAGCAGCAGGCCAGGCCCACATCCAGGCAGGGAGCCCTGGGTCCTTGGCCTTCCTCAGAGGCTGAGAGAGTGAGACCTGACTAGGGCCACACAGTAGGTTTCCATGGCTGAGCAGAGTTGGAATCGAACCCTGGCCTCCCAGAGTCCCAGTCCAATGCTCAAACCACTACACCACACTGTCTCTCCTTGCTGTTCTGTGCCTTCAAGCATATACTGGCTTACAGTAACCTTATGCCAGAATTTTCTTAGCAGGATTTGGTCAGAGGAGGTTTGCCTTTGTTGCCCTCTGAGGCTGAGAGCATGTGACTCGGCCAAGGGTCATCCAGTGCGTTTCTGTGGCTGAGTGAGGATGTGAACCCAGATCTCCCGGAGTCGCAATCCAACACAAACCACTCTGTCTCTCTCTGGCAGGTTAGCAACCTCTTGGTCTCCAGTGCCAGTTCTAGCTCTCATGGCTTCCCATTGGGTTGGGTCCAGGGTCGTCACAGTTAGAAAAGACCCATCAAGCTTAATGGAACGGCTCTTCAGATTTCCACGGGCCCACTCCCGACACAATTGAGCCACGCA